TCTGCATGCTTTGCCATGAGAACAGTCGTACCACTCATGACAATAGATACTTTAAAGCTAGTTTACTTTGCATACTTTCACTCTGTATTGTCATATGGATTAATCTTTTGGGGAAATTCAACAGACAGTAATAAAGTTTTTTACATGCAAAAGAAAATAATTAGAATAATGGCCGGTGTCAAAAGCAGGGTATCTTGTAGAAAATTATTTCGTAAATTTAATATACTTCCACTTGCAAGTGAATTTATACTCTGCTTGCTATCATTTGTGGTGGAAAACATGTGTAAATTTAAAAGAAATACAGTTGAACATAATTTAAATACAAGACTTAAACATGATCTCTATGTGCCAAATGCTAACTTTACTAAATATCAGAAAGGAGTGTACTATACAGGTATCAAGTTATTTAATAATCTTCCACCAACTATTAAAAGTGTAAATTATGATATAAAGGTATTCAAGCCTGCATTGAAAGATTACCTCTTTACTCACTCCTTCTATTCTGTAGATGATTTCATCTCTGCTGAAAATGTTTAAGCTTTATATCCATAATCTACGTATATGTAAAGCAAGTTTTGTATTTATATTTAAAATTCTGAGGTTTATGTATATTAATTTGTAAAATTATTTTTCATACTTGTATTGCAGAATCTGAAATTTATGTACATTGATATGTGAAATACGTTCTTGTACTTGTGTTGAAAGTTCTGAAGTGTATGTATATTGTATGAAATGACATGTTCTACATCCTTTGGTTGAGTCCTAAGAAGGATCTATGGAATGTAAATAAACTCTACTCTCTGGAATCAGCTTAAAAATTTAAGTTTTCTATGTAGTGTAAAGCTGTTGTTTTGTAATTTCTCACATTGTGGATTCAGATGCACTGCAGGTAAAAAATTACATTTCATGCAAAGTAATTGTAATTAGGCAAGTGATGAATGTGAGGTTGGGGTTGTCGTGGTGGTGAGGAGGATAATGATCTGGGTTGTGACACTATGTCGATACTAGCGTTTTAGAGAAACATTGGCATCTGCCTGTGAGTCCACACACTGTGAACCCAGCACAGTATCTTCATCAAGTATGGAACTTCTAAAATCAATTAAATTAAAACTTAATCACATTGCTGAAGATCCATGTTTTGAACTCTAAAATTCACACTTGTTGAATAAATGAAAAACATGTTGCATTATGTCCTTGTGCACATTGTTATAATGGTCCTCAGTCGGATGTAACTGCCAAATTGCAAAAAAGGGCTTATAATTTTAGGTTTCTCTAGTTTATATATAACCACATGAATTGGGCTTAATTAAGTTTGGAAGATTTCTTAGAGGTCCCCTGAGGAATTACAGGAACATGCATATCTTTATGCTCTTTTCTTTTTTATAAATAGAATTTTTTATTAATATGTGAACATTTTTTAACATTTAAATTTATTACCCCTATCCCTTGCCATATAAATGATCATATGTGTTTACTCCATTTTCTAAAAATTTTCATTTATTAGAAACAGCAATAGTCAGTATTATACAAAATTTTATAATGAATTGATGAGGCTTTATCTGTGATCACACTTCACCATGTCTTTGGAGCTTAGGAAGGAGGCCTTAAATTCTTCTGTTATGTCTGAATGTTCTCAGCATTTTATTTTAGTATTATTTTTATTTTGTTATAAGGAAAAAGTGGGATTTTGGTTATTATCTCCATGCATTTTTCTGTTAATAACTTTTGAACTAACAGTCAGATTTTAATGAGGTTAAATGTGATTATTATACCCCCCCATCTGTGTCCTTTTTAATTTCCTGATTATAATAAATCCAAGATTGCAGCCATGAATATTTCTGAGGTGGGAACTTTTACTATTGCCACTTAATGTAAGGCCATGAAATGTATTATAGTAATTAGATCTTTGGAAAATACACAACTTTTCTTCAGAAAATTTCTTTGTCAACTGTAAAACAACAATATGAAATATGTATTTTGTTTTCTGTTTGATAACAATAACTAATGAACTGTTGGAGCTAAGCGTGTGAAATTTAAGAATAGAGGTACATCATAAACCTTCCTATCTACAAATTTTATATGAACTGTTAATGTTGTCGAACATTTATTAGTATTATAGTTAGGATATTTACAATTGAAATTGTTTAGTTAAAAATATAGTACAGAAAAGGAATCAATATTTTAATCAGAAGTACAAAAATGCTGTGACAGTTAATAAAGTATACCATCATTTAGCATGTATTTGAGCCAAGGTCTAACAATAATCTATCATAAAGGGAGCCTTTGTAAAATACATGTTGATTGACAGCAATTTCAGAGTAATAGTCACTGCCAATCATAACATTGCATGCTTTTCTGCTGACTAATGACATTATTTGAACAAAAAAAACTTCCAATTTTGCCATTGGATCAAGCATGATTTGCATGATGGAATCAGAACTACAGGCCATGACTTACAATTTTTGATACATGAATATAAAAAAGTAAAATGTTAAAATGGTTTGTTATCATGTGTCAAATACTGTGTTAATGTTAAGTATTATATTCTATTTTTACAGATTAAGGATGTCTGAAGCAGAGAGTGAACAGTTCTCACTGCGCTGGAACAATTTCCATAGTAATCTTGCATCTGGCTTCCATGCTTTATTACAAGGAGAGGACCTTGTGGATGTTACACTAGCTGCAGGAGGCCAGTTTGTTCAGGCTCACAAAATAGTACTGTCAGTTTGCAGTCCATACTTCAAAGATCTGTTTAAGGTATGTTCTAGTGTATTACTCCCACCATTCTGATTGCCCAGTGTTGCTATCAGCATCGTTAAATAAAGCAGTCAGCCTATCAATGATACTTTTTTCTCAGCATGAGGTCAGGTGCTCAACATACTTGTTAGTAATGTTGAAACTTAAGGTGTGTGTGTGTGTATAGTTGTAAACAGTTCTCCAGACTTTCATTGGTAAATTAATGGAGACCAGTCGTGACAGACTGGCCTCCTCCTCTTTTCCTCTTTAATGCATTTTTGTGAGTTTTTGTTTCTATGTTTTATCATTTTATTTTGTAGGTGAATCCTTGCAAGCATCCCATAGTGATTCTGAAAGATGTTTGCCACAAAGATCTTGTTGCTATCCTCCAGTTCATGTATCGTGGAGAAGTCAATGTACGACAAGAAGAGCTAGGAACATTCATCAAAACAGCTGAGATGTTACAAATTAAGGGACTTACCGAAGATTCTCCTAATGTACGTTCAAATATTAGCAGAACTACAAATATTGAAATCTGTTTTACATGTTTTGTTTTGCTTGTATCATAATTGTTTAGAGTAATAGAGACATAAGGTGTTGTTAAAATTGTTATATGCTCTACTTATGAGAAACTGTGAGCATTGCAGTCGAAGTCAAGTGGTTTTTGCTCCTGCTTAACACTTGGGAGGTTGCATGTTTGAATGTCAGCTCAGAGATTGGCTATCTCGAATGTGGTTTTTTGTTATTTTCCTCAGTCTCTGCTGTAAAATATTTGGGTAGTATCTTAAGATAGGCCATATTTGTTTCCTTCCACATCCCCTCTAATTCATCATTCACACTGCCATCCAACCATTTGACACAACATTATCCATGCAGTTATCCAAGTATCATTAAATAACCAAGTAATGAACTGGTCAGATGCAAGTTTCTGAGGGTGTCACTTTTTTTGAGAAAATGTAAATATCAGTAGCATTAACATATTTGCACTTTCTGGTTTTATTTAAAAACTTAGATTTAATGTATTTCTCACATTGTAGGAGGAAGAAAATGTACCAGCCCCACTGCCATGTGCTAGAATGAGATTACCACGCAGGGTATTAGAAAAGGTATGTTAGTACCTGCCATTGTATTCAGTTATATCACTTATACAATATTTCAGGTTGTCACCAGGAGTAGGTAAAGTTACGTGTAGCTGCCTAATTGCCTTCTTGTTTGCTGTGTGAATAGAAATAAATATTGATATGAACTTATCTCACAAAAATGGTGTCACCTGAAAATTTAAGTGGCCAATGTAAGCAGATCAGCATTCAATTTAAATGCAAGCTCAATAAGTTAATAGCTACAGTACTGGTATTTTTATGTTGCAGACGCCACAGTTAGTACGTGGTACACCAGAGAAGAAGCAACCCTTAGTTGATTCTGTAACCATAGAGCCTGAAGAAACCTCTACACCTCCTTATAAACGGATGAGGCCAGAAGTATCAAGTGCAGTAGTTAGTTCTCCAGTTGTAACTGAGGAATCATCTGGGATAGAATTTCTTGAAATGACAAGTCCAAAACAAGAACCAGTGGAATATGAGACTGAAATTAAAGAGGTTGAGAGGTTACAGAATAGAGACGATCCTCTGGTACAGCTGTTTGGAGGAGAGAGTAGTCAGACTCTTCAGGACTCATCACAAGGTTTGTAGTATTGACAATATGTGTACACATGACTCCAGAAGTACAACTTAAATCAACCAAATCCACTCACTAATAGGCTATAAGTATGCTTCATGTGATTATTTTTTTAATCTAGTAGAAGTTACAGTAGACAAGCCAGGAGATTGGAAATGGAACAATTTTGTGTTGTGATGCAAAGTGCAATTCATTACAAATGTGAATCTTCTATTCTTAAATTGGAACATCTGTTTTTGATGCGTTGACACACATCTCTACTGTAATATGTACATCAGTTGCCATGTTTCTTGAACCTAATGTAGCACAACTTTGATATAATGAGAATTTATAACATTAAAAGAATGCTTATTCAAGCAGGTGTTTGTATGAATACAAGTGAAATACATGACTTAACTGTTTATTAAGCATCTCACAGTAAAACAGAAAGTTAAAAAAATAATGGGGCAGTATTTATTCTTTTTTGAAATAGGTATAATGGCAGCATAACAGTAACTAATAATATTTAAACTCTGTTATTGAAAATGGTGAAGGTCAGATACAGTCCATGCCAGGTCAGATTTAGTTTTTCATAAAAGTGAGAATGATGTTTTGGGTTTTGGCCTCATGTAGACTAGTAAGTGGCTGCCACTGTTTCTCCAAAACATTGAAATTTACCTACAGGTAAGTATATGTGGCATCAAACTCAGAACAACGACATTATCAGTCCATACCATATTCCTGTTTTGATGAGCTGTGAACTTTAAAGAGTTGTACCACTTTAAGATTTGTATTCAGGTCCAAGTAAGCATTTTAATTTTGTTGCTGAATAGTGTTGAACACTCTTTAGCTTAAACAACATGATGTACAACTGTAGAACAATTTTCAACTCCTGTTCAGTAACCTAGCAATGTAACTGGTTATAGATGAACAAGATACTTTTGTGCCTACACTGAACATCATGGTCGAGTGGTTATTATTCCTGCCTCATATTTGGGAGGTCCCAGGTCAAAATCTTTGCCCAGAGACTGGGGTTTCATGTTTTCCCTCAGTTCCTCCACGAAAATGCCCAGATACTACCTTAAAATAGGCCACAACTGCTTTTTTCCATATCCTTTCCATTTTAGTCTCATTTGATGCTAAATAGTGTGAGCTACTGAAAAAGTGTTGTTAAATAAACTATAAATACATATATTTTTTCCTACAGAAGCTAATAAAAAACTGTTTGTCACGTGTGTTGTGGTTTTTTGTGCTTGTGAACTTTGGGATTGTGGTAGAGGTATCAGTGTTTGCATCTCTGATATCCATGGGCATTGAAGCCAATATAATTATCCTAATTTCTTCTGAATATTGGTGTGAGTTTTTCATATATGCATGAAAAATTCATATTTATATCTGAGTGGAACTGACAAACTTATTGTCTTTCTGAACATTTTTAAGCCTCTGGCACAAGATGTCTGGGAATTTGAATGGCATTTAAACAGTGTCAGTATGTGTAAGTGCTAATGAATGTTCTTGTCATTGCTCACCTAATATAGGTTTGTGTGTATGTATCATCATAACCATCTTTGACACTTCTGCCATGTTGGGTTTCTATAAGAAGAAGCCTCTGTTCTTCTATGTGCTCCTCTCATTTATATGCTACCCTTTTCCTTCCCTTTTGTATATATTTCATATGGTCTTCATTGTGGTTATTGTAACATCTTTATTTTTTGCCCTATAAAAGGACTTCTATTATCACTGTATCCTTGTTTCAACAACTTTAATATGCTACTGATGATGAACTCATGAGGTTGAAACGCGTCTAGAAATATACATTTGTGCTAAGTGTAAAAAGTTTGTTTGTATTTGTGATTTTATATAGCGATTCTTTTTCCTAGAATACGTCTCTCCAATGGCATACGCAAGCGGAAACGAAAATTCCCATGTAATATGTACAAATATGTATGTATATGTGTATATATATATATATATATATATATATATATACATATATACACACACACATATATATACACACACACACACACGTGTGTGTGTGTGTGTGTCATAGTGTCATAGTTCATTGCTGGATGTGTTTACAGGTTCTTCAATATTTGCCAGCATCCCTAGTGCATCACAAGACTCTGGGCTTCCACAAGACAGCGGCCAAGGTAGGAGATTTGTTTGTTTTTACTTTCAAAACACACAGACTGCTGCTTTTCCTGAAGGTTGTTATTAGGATTATAGTCTTGTATGTTCATAGGAGCTTGGTTAACCTAATTCCCTCACTCTTAACTGTTGTTATCCTCTTTTATAATTAGTTTGTATGTCATGAACAAACAAGCTGTTCTTTACACTTCAACTAGTTGGCCCCATTTTAACTTCCCAGTTAATAATTTCAGTTATGACTGCATCAGAGGTGAAATTATCAAAAGTGGATGTGTAGGTTTACTTTCATGTACAGTTTCAGTGTCTGGGTTTTATAAATCTTTAATTATATGAACTAATAGCATCCAGGTCTTCTACTACCATTTTGACATGCAGAAGTTATGACTGCATTCTGAAATTATGCTTTCCTGCAGTGTGTGTGAAAGACTACTAAGGTTGACTTAACTCAACTTTGATAATTGAATCTGAATATCTCTGATAATTTATAAGCTACCTAAATTGTCACTAAACTGGAATGGACTTGGTGTGCTGTACCTGAGGTTTGCTTTGTGGTTCATATGACAACTGCAAAGTCATGCTTAGAAGTTGGGTTTTCTCATTACAAGGTTGGACCTGGTACTTCCACAGAACTTACAAAGAACAGAAGGTAGTTATATATTCCATTTCAGGTATAAGAGTACAGTCTCTCAGTATTTATACTACTTCAGCAAGAATAATTTAAGAAATAGGTGTACTTAATTGAATGATTCATATTTATTTATATTACAAATTCATTTTGGAAGACTTGTAGGCCAGTGGCATTGCTGTTTCCTTGTACTAAACTATTTGGGCAAAAATTTTTCAGTGTAGCTGCTGAAGAACAGTGTGTTGATGGAAACTGCATGGAAGACCTTGTTGGTTCCACCAGATTTGATATGTGGCTCCTATTACAGAAATGTTTTAAGCTGTTGCTTTTCTCTTTGTGAAATTTTGGATATTATATGGCAACATATATTGAATATTTGCTTGAGAGTCAAGGGAAGAACTCGGAGAATAGGATGTAATTGTTGGCTTGGTATTTTGGGTTGTCACACTGAGAGAAGAACGTGCATAGATTGGGCATGTTTGAGAACAAAGTGCTAAAGAAAATATTTGACCAAAGGGAGATGAAAAGAGAAAAAATCTGGACAAAATTACTTTGTACTCTATTTGATATTATTATGGTAATCACATACAGAAAGAATAGGTAGATGGAACATATGGTATATTTGGAGATAAATGGAAACTTAATACAAAATTTTGGCCAGAAAATGTTACAGGAAAAGGCTAGGTGAGTCATAATGTAAATAAATCTGCAGCAAATTGATCTCTCAGAAGTTGGGGTTTAATGGTAGGCTTATGTGAAAAAGAACTCTTGGGTTTGACTTTCTCTAATAATTTCCTTCTTCCAGGCTTACCGTTTTATGATGTATCACTTTTAATTATTTGCTGTCATTAAAATTTCCAGAGAACTTTTACTGCATTGGGCAACACGGAAGGGGTCAGCCATCTGTGTGTTTTGATAATATTTTAGTGGAGACAGGCAGAAGACATGCTTTGTAGATTACTTCTGATTAAGAATGCCATAGTTCTTTGTTGAAGTGATCAACATGGTAATGATGTGTTCTAGTCTTTATGATGTACAAATATTATATATTTTTGCCATAGATTTCCACAGTGATGCATGTAATATTTCCATATTAAAATATAAAACACTGTGTTGTGAAATTACCATAGGGAAATAACAGTGCTGTCATTAGATTTGAAGTTCTGTTTTGTATTCAATATTTGGACAGGTTTGTGTTCCTACTGTAAGTTTCAGATATACACACAAATTCTGTTATTCTTTACCTGATTTCTGTAGCACCAGATGTGGTCAAGTGATAGTATTTCTGCATCAAGTATGTGAGGGCTCAGATTTGATTCTCAGCTCAGGGACTGGCTTCTAAGGTTTTTCTGTAACTTTTCTAAGCCCTTTCAGAAATGTTGTGAGATTACCTTAAAATAGGCCATGACCACATCCTTCCCACTTCATTCACAAGCATTTCCTCATCAGTGTTATTCCCTATGCAGTTAAGAAAATGTTAAAAAAATTAAATAAGCCAGACTTTGGTAGAGCACTCATTTTCTTTTCAGTCTGATATTTTGCCATTGGGCCATTAATGAAAGATGAATTTTTTTCAAAGGAGTTTTCAAATGATTGTAGAAAAATTTAATTGTATGTATAGCTTCTGAAATTATCTGTGGTCACAGACAAGTGTGGAAACGTGTACTGTAATTTGTATGTGACTTTATACACACACACACACACACACACTTCACTTTTAAGGATTATTCTGTACATTAAAGTTGAATCTTATTCAACATTGCCCATCCCTGAAAGTCTAAACTAACAATGCATTAAACTCCAGCCACGAAAAGTTTTCAAGATTTTACATTGTGAATGATTAACAGAACACTTTCATACCATGCTGTTTCTGGTATTGGAATAACAGTCTTGTAATAAATACAACATTGTAGCAAGTGTTTTATCTGTCTCCACTATTGATTTTAGGCAGTAGTGATTGATTGTGTTTTGTAGTATTGAGAATAGTGTGTTGATTCTAGTGAGTTTATTCCAGTTGTCCATTTATCAAGTAGCTGGAAATTTCTCATGTCTACCCCCTCTCCCATATCAGCAGCATGTATCCCAATATTATGTAATTACATTACATTTTAACTCAAGATTTGAAGCTAATATATAGTAGGAACTGTTATTACATGCTTTGAGCATGACTTGTAAACAGTCTTTCAGAGTGGATGATATTAAAATGTTATCTGAATACGAATGTATTGCACCAGTTTGAAATTTATTGCAGGAAGAATCAGCAGAATTAGAGACATGTTTCAGTTTTATTTGCAGATGCAGTGGTGTGTGTAAATTATAATTAATGCATCTGTAGAGTACCAAAAGCATCCTTCTTTTGCATAAATGAGAGTTAATCTACATCTTACATTTGCATACTAATATGATTGTGAAGTTGTATAAATTAAGTGAATTGTGTAGTCAGTATTTAACAGAGAAATGTATTGTAACAGTAAGTGGCCATAGGGTAGCCTTAAATGGTGAAATGTATACAGAAATTTAGAATCAGGTCATAGAAACTAAACATTAAATGTTAATTGTAGTCTTCTAGGTTATGAAACTGTTTAGTCTTGTATTTCTTTACCAGCATTTCAGGAGAACACATCCCTTCCATCTTCAGGTGATCCTCATGTCTTAGTAAACCTCTGTGGGAAGGTAACACTACACAGATTTAACTTCTACATGAAGGTGGAGGTTATGTTTTCCTTCAAAATGTTGGTAGCCACCCATGAGAATATGTGGCATCACAACCCAGAAGACCACAATTGATATGTTCACTGCTGTGAGAGCCTCAAATTTCAGATTAATTATGGAAAACCTTGTGTTGATGAATATTAAATGATCATTTTTGTTTTTCTCTTTCTGAAAGACTAAGCTTTGAGTCCTGTGCTTAGAATAATAAGTAAAGAAACTTTGTTGTAATTAATGGATAGCATTAGTATGTCGGTAAGTCAAAAAGTATCTTCTGTGTCATTAAAATTCACAAAATACACAACTCACAATTGCATACTTTTCAACATAGTCCCCATTCTTTTCACTGCAGTTTATCCAGTGTTGCACAGAGAAAAATGTTTTAGCCATGCAACAAGCTTCACATGTATTTCCTCTTTCTTTTAATTGTCGCTGGCAAAACAACAGCCTCTAGAAGTATACTTGAGGGGTCCAGACAAATGATAGCCGGACAGGGCAAAGTCATTGTTGTATGGTGGATATTCTGGGACCTTATATAGTGCAGCTGCTCAAGTGTGGGCAGCACAATTCTTGGTGGTTCTGTGTTGGGGTTTATAACACTCTTTTTTCTGTAAAAGAGGGATGCTGGAATAAATCATATTTTTGCAAGTGTGTGTTCTCACCACAATTGCATGTTTCATAATCTATTAAATATTTTAATAAACCATTGTCACATCAGGCTCAAATCTCCAATGTAGTTGCTTATGTCCCTATTAAATTGATGAATCTTATTGATAAAAGTACAATTTATTGTGCCACCACACAGCACATAAGGCCCTGAAAGATACAGTTTATGTTCCCATTATGGTACATTGGCCTGATAAAGGTATATTTTGATACTCTTTTCACATTGAAATATGTTGGTTGCCTGTGGTCTGTTAGGATAGCTACCTGTCTGAGTTTTGTCAAGCCTGCCCAGAATTTTTAAAATTGTATGTTTGTTTTTAAAGTGACCAGACACTTTAAAAAAATATCACTTCTGTTTTGTAACCTGCTGTGTAGCATTGAAAATGCTGACAGTGCAATGGTTTGTGTGAATTGTTCTGATAAATTATTTTGTGAATATGACAGAAATGGAGGTGGGTAGAATTAATTTTATTGGGTTAATGGAGAGAGGAGTGGTTAGAAGTAATCCATATTCCGTCATTTTTGTAACGTTCCTACTACAATTTCTGTAGACTGTACCTCTATCTATAGCTAAAGTCTTGGATTGCCTTGAATGCTATGATGTAGTTTGTAGGTGCAGGGATAAATTTACCTTTACCATTTCTTAAGTCAGAACAGCCAGTCAGTAAAGCAACAGGCTACAGGTTGAATGACTGGGATTAAATTTCTGGCAAGGGCATAAATGTCTCTCTTCACAACCATGTCCAAACCAGCCAAGGCTAACACGTTTGGTATTAGGAGCACTTTCCAAAATGATAAAAACAGCTGAAGTGTGAAGTTGATCACTCAACTCCTACAAATAGTGTTGAGATCTAGAATATTTTAATCTTTGCTTTTGTACCCCCACCGTCTTCTTGCTATTGTGTTTAGGCATAGGGACGTTATATATGACTATGCCAATATTTCCCATGCATATTTTACACGCTATAACTGATGTCCATACACACATTTAACTTCTAGCATCTGTGTGTCATTTCTTGTGCATAATCCAGCTGTGTTACTCTGTCATACTGCTAAACCATGAAGTTCGGAGTTAAAGGTTGGCCAGCAGCCCCATTTGTATAAATCTGCAGCATTTTGTTTATTCTGCTGTTTTTGTCTCTTGGTGGGATTTGCTTTAAAGCATACCTTGTTGTTTAGGTTATGTAACATGTTGATGGACTGTATAACATATTCAAATTGTCATTACAACATGCATCTGCAGTTTAGACTTGCTAGTGACTTCTGCTATCTGGCATTTGCAAATTGTTGAAAGTGTTCTGTATTACATTATAAATCTTCTTACTGGAGTCACTGATGTCATAAGTGGATATAATGGGTATTGTGGGAGCATAAAATGTCTGGAGCAGGTCAGCTTTACAGTCAAAACAAAGGTTTGTTTTAGTGGGGTAGACAATTTTACAGTTGCCTGTTATATCTAAAACTAGGAAGCTGTGATGCTGATTTCATCATTCAAGCCAAACAGGTAAGTTGGATTTTAGGTTTTCTTGGCAGTGAATCTGCAGATGGCTGTCTTTTGGGTTGTAGCACCATGTAGTCTGGCATGAGTTTACCAACATTTCAGAGGTTCCTGCTACCTCCATTTTCAGTGTGGCATTGTTCAACTTCTACTATACTACATGGTGCTACAACCCAGAAGACAACCATCTTCAAACAGGTAAGTTGTTTGTTGTATTTACACATATGGTTACTGATTAGTTGGGTCATTGTGAATTGATTTTTGCTGCTGTTTCCTAACCCATATCTTAATTGTTGTACCAGGACTTTAAAAAGTCTCTTAAATTATTAAATATTAGCATTAAACCTTTATAAACTTTAATATGAAAGTGTGTTTAAGTTTTTGTAAAGTGTATACCGCTACGAAAATGCTGACATCTGAAAACAAATATTAACATCCTTATGACTATCAGTAGCAAAAATTGAAACGTTAGTATTCTCTAATAATTAACCCTTTCGTTGAAATTGTTTCACAAAATATTTTTGTTCTCAAGTCAAAGGCTCATAGTATGTAGTAACATGTCCTAGAAATAATTTTCTCCAGAGGAATAGTTTGGTGTCACTGTTAAATGTTGCCATCATTCTTTACCTTAGTCAACCAGTTCATGCAGCTACCTAGAAAATCACCATATTTGCCCGAATATAATGAACACCCTTTTTCTTCAGATGCTTTCAAAACATTGACTGTGCATTGTATCCACACACAACCAGTTCTGTTGGGTATTTTAATAGAAAATACCACCAAAAATTTGGTTTAATTGGAATGTATAGCTCTTTTTAATGGGGTATTTGGAGGGAGACAGCATTGAATTTGTGCACTTGCATTTCTGTGAGGTATTTTACTAAAAGGTACTACCAAATAATTTAAATATTTAGTAAATTTTTCAGGACATATTTGGAGGATAAAAGTGTATATAATATTTGATTAATACAGTCTGAAATTTTCCTTATAAGAGCTTTCAATTTATGTTGTTCATAACAATCAAGCTTCTGCATCGATCTTTTGTCTTCCACAGCTATTTATGAGTTTCCTGTCTTATTCTTCATTCCTTCTGTTTGACATCTTTCAAGGCATATTGTCCTCATCATGATCTGACATCTTCCTTCTACTTTTATGTTGAAAATCTTTTGGAATTCTCTCTTTATTCAGTCATAAAACATGTTGATATAATCTCTCTTTGTTATTTGTTAGTTTACCTTCCAAGGTGTTTGCTTTTATGTTGATGTTGGTCTTGTGGGTTGCAGTGTCACATGGACTTGCAGGTAGATACCAATGTTTTAGAAGAACATTCTGCTTCCATCTTCAGGACTGAGGAGTATATTACCTCTATCTTCAGGGCTTTAGATGGAAGCAGTATATTCCTTAGAAAAGTTGGTGTCTACCTACAAGTTCACACAGTGTTACAACACAGAAGACCAACATTGATATCTTCCCTGTGATGACAACATCAGATCTCATATGTTTAGTTTTTGTACTCAGTTTTTTAATGGCATAACAGTAGTAATAAGTATTGTGAACTGTTTTAGGATTGTGCTGGTTTAACACATATGTGGTAATTTCTTAGTTATTTCACTGAAAGGGTTAATTTTAGCTATTATGTATGAATTATATTATATAGACAGTGTGAACTTATGTTGATAAACATATCTATCACAAGCTGCATGTTCACCTGACTGTAAAAAAATTAAAGAGTAACAAGAAATTAAATTACCTTCCTGTTCAGAAAGTGCATAATTAATTAACTTTCATTTCATTGTCCGAAATGGAAGTACGTTCCTCTTACACCACTGTCCCCTAATGCCATACTTTCTCAAGTATGACTCACTTTTCTTTCTTCAATTTAATCTTTCAAAATTGAATTGTTTGTTTATGTCTATTACCCCAGTTTTTGAAAGTTTAAATTAAAGGAAAAAGTGCAATATATATGAAGATACTATAATGTATATTTTGTGTTATTAGAGGCTGAATAAAGTGTGAAATTGTGTACAAGGACCTCAAGTTATGGCTTTATCACAGTATTCCATATTTTAAACTTAATTACAATGTATTTGCTTTGTATATAGAGTTTTGTATAAATTACATGCTACACTTCTTGTGGAAGAGACTGATGGTATGGATGAGGAAAAATATGTTTTCAAAATGAAGTTTGTTTGTCAAAAGAAAAAAACCAACAGCATAGTGAGGTGTCTAAGCAGATTAGATTATTTTATCTGGAAAAAATATGTACAAGACATGCTGGCAGGTGGTGTGTTTAATGTTATTGCAAATAAATCAGATGTTCAAGAAAATAAGAAGAGAGATTTTGTTTTTATATTTAAATCGTTTATGCGCAAAACATCTCTAGAAGCACTGCAATGTTTATTGCATGTGAGAGCATTACTAGAAGATCTAAAAGCAGAAGCCTATTCAAGCTGGACACTTTTTAAATGTATCATCACTGAGTTGTCACCTCTTAACTTACCTGGTATGTATATTTAAATATTTTAGTCATAGATCTAGTGTTGACTTGTGGATTAGGAATCTCTTGTAAGAATCAAGGCATATGCCTTCCATTGCAATGGACATCACAGGTTGTAAAATACTATTCTGCTTTATGCCGCTTTTGGAACATGAAAAATGGTATAATTTGTATGTTCTTAATTGAATTTTGACAAATGTTGATGTTTCAGATAATTCAGAATCTTTGTAGGATTCAGAATGATAGCTCCCATTAATTTAGATATTTGCTATATATATCTTGAACAGCCCATGTTTATTTAAGTTCGTTTAGTTTAATGGCTGTCTGCAGTTGTTGAACATTGCTGTAGGAATATGAAATATTAATACAGGGTTATTTATAATTCCCTGACACATTAAAAAAATCGCTTGACTTGAATGGTGCAATGGATGGTAACATGGGACATGCCAATAGAAAAAGAAACTCCAAGTTTATTTTATATACCTCATAAATGCTCTGCGTGTTCGCCCTTTGTGATGCGGCAGACGTCAAGCCAATACTCCATTTCCGCCCACCTGCTGCAGCATGTCACGATCGATTTGTGAGATGGCAGCGATGATTCGTTTTCACAATTCAGGCAGATCCTGTTGCAGAGGCGGTACAAAGACCTGGTCCTTAACGTACCCCCATATGAAGAAATCACATGGCGTCAGGTCAGGTGTTTAGGATGGCCAACAAAGCAGGGCATGGGTATTGAGCATTTATAAGGTATGTAAAATAAACTTGGAGAGTTTCTCTTTCTATCAGCATGTCCTATGTTACCAACCATTGCACCATTGAAGTCTAGCGATATTTTGTAATGTGCCAGGGAATTATGAATAACCCTGTATTAATGGGTAATTAACTCTGTAGGTATGTGTTTGCCAACAGAAACCAGGATGGAAATGAAACTATTTTTTTTGAGATGCTGATGAATGTGCTCTATTTTTCTTGTTATTTTAGGGGTTGATGTAGCAATAACATGGAAGGAGTTAGTTTGTAAATGTGAAGAGAGAAATTAATTTTTTAGATGACACATGACTGTTTAAAACACATAAACTGATTATTAAATTATGCATGTCATTTATCAGTATTTGTCTGCAATCGTACACACCAAGCAATGCATTTTAGTATTGTGAACACTAAAGATGAAATTTGTTATCATGTCTCCATGTGTTTGAGTTCTGTTTATATAGAACAACAGTAAACCTATTCAATTAAAAAGAAAAAGAGGTGTATAATTGAGCTCATTGCAGTACAAAAGTTTTTCAAAATAAAAATTTATAAATTTCTTGAAACAGGTCTCTTAAAGTGAAAGTTCTCAGGGACAATTCTAATCCTATCACATTGTTTGAAGAGTAAATTGATTCCACACTTTTTTGCCTTGAGGAGTGAGTTTGATACAGTTATGTGGCTTAAAGAAATCTACATGAAGTTATAAAATTGATGGTGTTTGTAGGGAGTATTTTATAATGTTTATGCTGACAACTTTTCTGTCTTGGAAGACCTGCCATTTCTCCTAAATTGCTAGTTGCAGAGAAGTGAGATTTGGTGTAAAGAAGCTTCAGATCTACATATCTGCTGGGAGTTTTGTGCTGTGTTTCTCTTATTATTCCTGTCCATCTATTTCTCACTTCATACACTTCAATTTCTTCCCACGGTGTTGCTCTGTGTGACATCTTTCCTAACCAGTTGTTCCCCTCTTGATACCTGTGCTGCATTTATGGAATGAATTTATAGCAATTAAAAATATTATTATGTTTTGAATAAATTTTATTGATATTCTCTGTGAGTATCTAGATTTGAATTTAAGCCAACTGGAAATATTTTATTTCTTTTTAACAATTTCATTATTTATATACATTCATACACCTTGAGATGTGCTGGAGAATGAAGACAACCTTGTGGTTAGTGGACAACAGAGCCCAGACACATTCTTTGTTGTCCGGTCATAGCCTTTTATATTTGTAATGATTTTTTCAAGATCAACACTGGAATGATGATTTAGCAGATGAGTACCAATGTATATTGAGAAACAGTGTAAGTAATAATATAAAACTTACTGACTACTGAAGCTTAGTTGTGATTGGTATATTAAAGATACACAACAATTTATGCACATTGTTGATGAATCCACTAATTTTATTGGTTGTAGTTAACTATTGTTAAGAACAGTTGTGTATTATTATCATCTTCACTTGATGGGCTGGGCATCTGTGCTTGTTCTCTCTTAAGCTAGTTCTCCCTTTCAGCTTATATTGATTTAGGCAGCTGTGTTTCATTCATTCTTGATAAGTAATTACCCATTTTAGCTCATATTCAACCAATTTATATCTTATTAAAAATATGTAATTATTTTATATTTTCATGTCTAATTTTGTAGTCTTATACATTTTTCAAAGCTCATAAAAATTTTATTTCTGCAGATTGTATTTTGGAATGTTCTGCCTTTCCTACTACTCATGTACCATAGAATCAGGTCAGCCATTGCCTTGCTAAACCCATTAATGCCTGTTAAGGGACTGTATATTTTGAAATCCAAACAGCTTGTGAGACATTACTCACTAAATAAATGAAATGTGATGTTTATTTCAGTGACAATTATGGATCTCTTGGGATAATTCCTTTTGAAAGTCATCTTCATTTTTTGTTTTGAAATGTCAAAATTATGTAGGCTGAATATCTTATTTAGTTGTGTGTGTGTTTTAATGAAGTGAATTATTAGTTCAAAGGAATTTATTTTTCATAGATCATTGTTTATATTCAGATGGAAACTGATAAAACTGTTTTGGACACACAAATCGTGTTATGTGGTAATTTAGTTGTGCTAACATATTGAAATATTGTGGTGGCATTGATAGTAAAACTGACAGAACTTTGTCCTGTGAAGTGGTTGGAGTAAGTTTGGTTCCCTAAGGAAATGTCATAATAGATAATCTCAGAGATGATAAAGTTTGAAATTGTGTTATGGAATATGAAGCAAATAAAAGTTTTTCAAACAATTTCTCTTGTAGCATACCAGAAATGAAACTCTTTCAGTTATGTGTATATTATTTTTATTAACAATCACTTATAACAGATTTTTTAAATGTATAAATGTAGTAATTAAACCATATGAGGAGAATATTCTGCTGCAAGCATCATACATCATTCTAGATGAATTGTGGAAGACTGGATAACTGCTTGAAACTTGAAGAAGAAAGTTGCATAGCTGCAGTCATTGCTTCCCTGGTAGTATAGTTTTTACACTACTGTTGAATTTAAGCAAAACCAGAAGAACCCTCTCTTTTTGAATTCTTTGTTCTTTGTCTTTGTTATGATTTTTAATCATCTTATATTCACCATATTATAAATTACTGTTTTACATTAAACCCTGATATGGGCACTTGTTATTTGTAGGTGTCCTTCAGTTTATCAAGAGTTCTAAAGGCAGACTGCTGCTCACCCACAAAGGATATATTTATAGAATGAATCGGCAAGTTGGAAATAAGAGGTTTTGGATTTGCTCAGAATATAAGAAAGATGGTTGTCGTGGGCGTTGTGTGACATTGGGTGACAAGATGTCAAGGGATGCAAGCCTCCATGATCACAGCCCTCGAGAGGATAAAATCAGAGAGAAGCTTGAAATGGCACAGTTCTGGACAAATGTGACTGAATGCCGCTTATAGCTTTTATCATTTAGTGCAACATGACAGAGGCAAGTGTTATACAAATTGATGTTGAGTTTGATCATAAAAACTTCTTGTTCTTTTCTCAGTGTCAGTATATCTGCTAGCAGAGTCTTGTTTACCACTTTATAAAGACAAATAAATTAGGCCTATTTTTCTTGTGATGGTTTGTTTTAAATTTCATCCTTAGTTACTATATTTGCCTGAATATAATTTGTACTTCTTCCCTCTGAATACTATGGAAATGTTGACTGCAAATTATATTATCTATCACACATTGAGTAGAAGCTACTTGTAAATATCTGATTATTGAAAGTGTTTTATATATAATGATGTGGCAAGTACTAATTTTTGACTTTTATTCTGTAATGTAACAGTATGTATGTAGTAGACAGTGAAGAATGTATAGATGTAATTTTGTGAGGCAGTTTTAAATCACTTTAAATTCTGAATACTTGGTTGTCATACCATTTGTTGCTTTCAGCCACATTTTGAGGAAGCAGTTTTATCAACCACCTAAATGTGAACCTATAGTGTAGGTTGCAATGTATTCAGTGCATGGGTCACAATGGAAAATACAAAGCTCATTGTTGACCAGTCTGAAGTTTTGAAATCTGGTATTGTAAACTGTGGTTATATTATGTGTAATCAATGTTTTGCTGAATTAATATAACAAAACAGCTTTTTAAAAATTAAAAAGCATATTACATACATTTTTAAAGTAATTTATTTCAGTTTATGTATTATCCCACAGGGCCCAAAATCCCTCAACAGCATTGCCATGGCAACAGTTATAACCACACACACACAATGATGAATATTATCCCTTTACATCAAATGATCACCAGTCAACCAAGCTACCATCACATGCTTATTATATAGATCAGTTGACTACATAGCAACCTTCCCTGTTCTATTGTAGGTAATCTGCAACTCATCAAGAGTTCTAGAGGCAGGTATCAACTAGTCCACAATGGCTTTATATATAACACGGATCGGCAGTCAGGGAGAAGGATATTCTGGCGATGCTCAGAATACCAGAAGATTGGCTGCCGTGGACGTGTTGTTACAGTGGATGATCAACTTACAGTGAAGTGTTCAACACACAATCATGAATCACAAGATGAGAAAATTAGGGAAAAGACAGCGATGGCTGAAATTATGGAACAGGCATATCTGGCCAAGCAGTTACATAATCAAACATTAGTAAATCAGCGGTAATTTTGAATAAATCCTGCACCTCATGACAAATGATGGTTCAGTTAAAATTAGTTCATTAAGTAACAAGGATATTTAACATTTCACAAAGTGTATTATTGCAATAAAGGATTTTTATTTCTTTGCTTCAAAATAATAACTTTTACTGTGTTCATACTGTTATCCTTGTGAGTGGATTTGTTTGAATTTATCAGTCTAAAACCAAAAGTGTATCGGTATTCTACTGAATGTTGCCATTGCAGTGTGCATTGTTTTCTTTACCACCAGAACACAAAACTACCTCTCTCTATCTCCCCCCCTCCTCCCTATCTTTTTTACAATTCATAGAAAACCTATGTATCATGATGTTTCATTATGTGCATTTAACAATGCATAGCAGTGCATATGTCTCTGTATGTCCTGTTTTATGTTGGATGATGGCATTAGTGACTTCTAACCCATATGAGAATCCTTTTGCATCTTACATGCCTCTTGACAGTCCAAGCAGTGGTTTCAGTCGGTGTTTTGATGCTATGTAGACTCACAGGTAAAAAACAATATTTTGGAGCTGATGGATGCATAATGTTTTTCCAAAACTTTGGTACCCACCAAGAAGTCTGTGTGATGTCACAGTGTTGAAGAACCACATACTTGAATGTTTTTTAGTTTTTGTTATAGATTACTTTATGTTCATGTATACAGAATTATGGTTTTTAAGTTTTTCTACAGTCATTGTTCATAATTTATTATAAATTATGAAAGTATATGATATGTGTTTGTGCAAACCTGCAGGCAGTTTTGCACAAGCACAAGACCTCTGTTGCTAGGTTAAACCATTCCTGCAGGAGAAGCATGTAACAAATTGGTAAACTAGGCATACAAGTTATAAAAGATCTGATACAAATGCAAGAGTGTATTCTACACACCAAAACAGTAAACATTTTATACAATAGGGATCCAGAATAGCTTCTTACCCATGTTACAGTCCTCTTTTACTTTTCAAAACTTCTGGCATAGTGTCCCAGTTTCATTGCTTTGTCAGTAAGCTGCGGTCATCAGACAGAACACTAATAATAAAGAGAAAGAGAGAGGCATGATGTCAAAATCACGTGACACATTCAATTAAGCTTTTGGCCATACACTTCAGCATCAGCACTACCAGTAACTTAGTTTATAACAATCAAATTCTACGTCTCTGCCTTTTACATTTCATTTCCTTTATTAATTATATCCAGTTGAAATGTTTAAATATCTGATAATAAACATTGTAAATGTATCAGTGTTGAAAATCAGTTTATGCTGAGTGATTTGTGAGAATGAATGAATGTTCCAGGAAGTGGTGGACATGCTTTTATTTTGTTGTTGTGCAAATTGTAAGGTGGACAGTAGCTTACTGAGGACATTTTGAGAACTTATGAAATTTTCACTCACGACAGAGCAGTTTACATTGCTTTGGTCATTGTCCAGAGAAGACTTTATAAATATGTTGATTCCTAACAATAATGTAAAGGTGTACTTCACTAGAGTGTACATATATGTTCCTTGCAAATTTGCATTACTTTATGATTGTAATTGTCATGTATTGTTGATAAACATGTATTTTTTATTATTTTTTGTCCATCGTATGCTGAACTCTTGTGACAGAAATTAGTAAAATGTGTAAAACAGTACAATATGAAATTTTGTTATTGAGAAAGTAATTAAGAAATAGAGGAATGTATTATTTTACTTGCATTTCATTGAATATATAGCATATTTAAAATTGTTCAAATAAAAATTGTAGATTATAACGTGATACATCATATGATGTACAAGTTTTTGTAACATGTGGGTTTTTAAAGAAAGTGTGTGAGCATTTATTTCAGTTTTATGTAAATGTATATGGGCTAAAATGAAACACAGTTGAATTCGCTTGACAGCTTTTAATGTACACCCATTACCTATAATCACAGTACATTCAGTAATTTTGGAGAAATATATGTAGACAATAGATGCGGTCTGTAGCATAAAATATACATTTTGATCATTATCCCTTAAAGGAAGAAATGGAAGGATAATGTTGTAATGGGTGTTGGCAAAATAAGTGTCACTACAATGAACTGCTTGGAGTTGGGTCTGACGGTGTGCTCTTTTGAACATGAATGAACCCCTTCATTTTAATGAAAATATATGTGACATAGGCTGTGCATTGGCCAGTATTCTCCCCATTGTGAGTATTTAGACAATTATATATTTTATCTACACACACTTCAGTACAATGGTTTCACATTTAATGTGGAAATGGATAAGACCATGACTGTCCTGTGTTATGGTCAGCCTAAACTACACCAGTAAATTGACTGATGGGGAAGATAGATATTACAGTATACTGTACCCTTGTGGGATTGTTCCTTCCATAAGTCAAAGGGTTAGGAATATCTACTATGGAGTAGGTAGATTGTAAGGTAGCCCAATCTCATAATCCTTTACTTATTTCTTTGCAGTCTGTTTATGCAAACATGGGAGACAATCAGATTGACAGTCTCAGTTCTTGCAAAAATATGATTAATATTAATGCAAATTGGTTAACACTGAACAAATTAAATATAAAAGCTGAAGGCA